GACAGTATTACTTACCCCTAGTTAACTGTTCTAGAGAGAAGGGCCTTTACCCTGAACCTGAAAAATTAATACCTCCTACCATTACAATTGTGCACTTTGAAATTAAAAAGATATCCAGGGCAGTAAAAGAAACAAAACCAAAAACTCCTTTAAAATTTCTTGCTCTCATGTATATGTAAATCTGTTTGTGTCTGAATTTTATGGGAAATAAGTGAATTTGTTCTCTTAGAATCACAATAAACAATAGCTGATTAGCCAAGATGTCTAGGTAAATAAAGAAAAAATTGGAAAATTAGGAAGACGTTTTGTGGAAAGTATAACTTCTAAGTCTGGAAAAGTATTCATAAGTTTCACTAAATGTGTTCTTTTTTATCTCTATGCCCCCCATTGGCCTATCATCCTCTCAAAGCCTACCTATACAAAGAAAGGAGAATGAAGCTCAAAAGTTTTCAAACATCTACAAATGTGATGCATTGCATCACAAGGAATTCACGAAATATCTAATAACGAAGAGGCATGCAAATGACATGGCTACTCTCCTACAGAAGTTTATGTAAAACTACCCTCCCTAACAATTTCTATATCAAAATTGAAGGAAACTACATAAAAATTATTTCCCTGAAATTCCTGGGCAGTGGGGGAAGACGAGTCATGTAATTAAACAATTTGTGCATACTGGGTTCCTACTGCTTCACTATTTTTTTCTTAGAAGTATTTCTTGTTTTTTCTGTCCATCTAAAATAAAAACTACTACTAGTCACAACTAGCAAGTACTTTAGGGTTCAGGTATAACAAAGCAAGAAAAGTTTCAACTGTTTTTAAAAACACTTTTGCACAGCTGAGAAAGTCTGACTAAAAGCCACAGTTCTATTTCTCAGAGCTAATTTATTTTCAGGAGAGTCCCACAAACAGAAGAAATTAAAATCCAGTATTCAAAACCTAAGTTGTAATGAAAGATAAATGCATCCAAGGTTCATTTTGGTATAACTTCTCATCTGAACATAGTATAATTACATACTCTTGTACTGAAAATGTTACCAGATTATACAAAGCAGGATGCTCAAGCACCCACAGCGGGGTTTTTTTTGTTGCTATTTTGGCTATTTTTTCAATCACATCACTCTACTGCTTAAACATTACAATGGTTGCGTCCCAGGAATATATTCTAGCTACCTGACACAAGCACTTGAATACCAGAAACACAAAGAAGTTGCACAGGTATAAGAACATCAGCATTTGATCTGAAGTTCAGTATGTAAAGGGTCATCCAAACCTAGGGGCACAAGTGTTCTCTGGTGATGTAAATTATACTAATCCCTAAATACTGACATTTCTAAAATCATCACCTTAAAAAAAAACAGATCAAAAACAGTCAGGTGTGAGAGTAAACTCTCTTAGCAGATAATTTAACAGTACTGGGGCCTTAGCTAAAACATGGAGTACTGCCACAAATGACAACCACTGGCAGGACTTTTGATAATTGCCGTTCTCTTTTTATCTCTTCATGACACATTCACCAAAAACATTCCTGACAGCCCAAATCGTGCTCTCCTGAAGAATCTTCTTTCCATAATTGAACGCTTCCTTTCTAGTACTACATTGCTATTAGTTTTGTTTCATAAAAATATTTCAGCAATGTTATCCAATTAATATTTGCTTCATGTCACTATTTTACACACGGCCAAAAGTAAAACAGTTGTGTGATAAGACAAATGACTAATGAAAATGTTGAGACAGTCGTGTTACTCTGGGGAGGAAACCATAAAAACAAAGCCTAACTTTCACTCAACGTGCTTAAAACTCCCTAATGTCTTTTTCAAAGAAAACGAAAAATTTATGAGAATGATAAACTACTAATATCTGACTATAAGAGAATTGGTAGCAAATAATATAATTAGTTCCCTTCATTGTTCCAATTAAATATAAAATCAGCAGATAAAATTGAATGTGTAGCAATAAAATTCTCTCATCTAATGCATAAATTTCCATCTAAATTTAAATAAGTAAAAATTCCGTATTTCAATATGTTGTACAAGTCACTTACAGTAATATAACATTTATTGTAATATGCCAGAAACTATTCTAAGTGCATTATAGGTATTTTTCATTTCATCCTCAGAAAAGCCTATGAGGTAAGAAACAATATCCCCATTTTATGGTAACTAAGGCACAGAAGGTTTTAAGTAAACTTGCACAAGGTCTCACATAGGAAATAATTTATGGATCCAAAAATTTCAACAACTACTCTAGCTCCAGATCATTACATTAAGCTGACAAAAAGATAATATAATAAATATGCTTGCAAATACTAAAATGCACAAATGTAAGGTTGCACTAAGGGCACAGGCGTTGTCAGATCTAGTGTAAGTCTCTTACCAGCTATGTGAACCTAATAAATGACTGAAATTCTCTAAGCTTCAATTTTCTATTCTATAAAATAGGGATAATGAAAAGAACAGGTCTTCACAGGGTCGTTGGTAGGATTAGGGACATTATGCATGTAAAGATTTAACAGAGTGCTTGGCATATAACAAGCACACCATAAATGTTCATCATTATTAGCTATTACTAAGAATTATCTTTCTTTCTCATAAATACTGAGCACTGGTGAAGTTTCCTAAAATAAGTGAAATCCATCAATATTGAGAGGATAAAAGTTTAAGACTAAGTCTCAAAGTATATGGTACAATTTAGGGATGGAAAAGGCTTACTTGCCTTAATACCATGAATACTTGCCTTAATACCATTATCAAACATTATTTAAACTGTCCTGCTGTACATGAAAATGTGCTAGGCACTGTACAAAATTCTCAAGACAGTCCCTGACATCAAAAATACACAATCAAGCAAAATTAACTCTGCTGAGTGGACACAAACAGCAAAACCCCCAACTTTGGGCATTTTTTCAAACAGATGCACCTACGGGATGCTAGGTCCCTTTTGTTTGTGGTGTTGTGGTGGTGAAAATAGAAGAAGAGGCTTAAAAATCATAAGCGTCTCAAATTTGGTGTGGAGCAGTAAAGATTTAGGAGGAAATGAGCTGCATTTTCCACTCTTACCCTTCAAAAAAACACTTTAGCAATTTTTGTACTAATGATTTCTATTAAACCAGAAGAAAAAAAGGCAAGATAGGAAATGGAAGCTCAGAGGAATAGGGTATAGAAACAAATTATGAGAAGAGAAATGAATTTGAAAAGTTAGAAAAGCCAAAATAATTGCAGGTAAGTTTAAGTGAGACATGCTTTTATTCTGCATTCTACCATGTGTTTAATGTCTTAAAAACCACAGAACAGCTATTCCTGAAATTGCTGATCCTTACTCCTTTTCAATACCAAGGATCTCTTTAGCTCTTAAAGTCAGAGAGGTGAAAGAACAGCACAGAGTACAGAAGGATTTTTGTCTAACAGCACAGCCAATGTCATACCAGACATATCTTAGAGCTTGGCTTCAGATCAACTGAACACCATAGCTAAATCATAATCCTGATAATCTAAGGATTGCATTAGAAAAATAACTTCTCCAACTCCAAACTAAGATCTAGAATACTTCAGTGGGTCACTGCAGGAAACCTGGAAACCTAATTTCCAAGCATCTCTATCTCATTCTCAGAAGTCGGTTTGAAGAGATCTTTTGCAACTTCACAACAGGGAATGACAGCCATTGGTACCTGTCTCCACATGTATTTATCATAACACCTATAGGGAAACTCCTCTTTCTACACCCAGGGCCACATCCATAGCAAAACCACAAACTCCCCGCTACTGCATCCATTGCATACTTTAATGCAAACTGAGTAGAACAGACTATTGACCATAAAGTAATATAATAAATATTTTCCTAAAAAATGTGAAGGTATACTTCAACAACTAAAGCAACCTGTGTCAACCAAAAACTTAATTCATATATACAAGACTAGGCGAAAAAACCCTAAAACCTAAGAATGGGTAATGCATACATTCTTCAAAGGTTTTCTTCTTAAAGGGCATAGGGGAGGGGTAGGGAATCAATGCATAAACCAAAAAATAGCAGTTGTGTATTCAAGGCATGTCTAATGAACACCTGCCCAATGTCAGCTATTCTTCATCCAACTCTCACTTGCACTACACAAACTTATGAAGTGCAACCTATACCTATTGTTTCTCCTCTTCCACCACACTTAGGAATGGAAGACATTTTTAGCAAGGAAGGTAAGTTCAGTTCTATAGGAAAACTCTTAATTGTTCAAATAGCAGCAAAGGTTCATATAATTTGCAGCCAGATAGGTCTTATATAAAATACACAGTTTCTGATGGGTCTTTATCTGCTGTAATCCTCATTCTAACATCAAAAAGTCATCTACATATGTGTGTATGTAGCCTAGCTTCTGGCACAAACTTATTAGGCCTCTTCTCCTCAAGAGCCTTAAGCCTGAGCCTCTGAAATGATACAGCTCAAGTCAAATCAGGAAGGATGAAGACCACAAAGGAATACAAAGAACAGTACTTTCTAGTCACTTGTTTGTTCTACCTTTGTAAACTGGTCCTAGTTCAGCTTTTCTTATATATGCCATGGTCCATTAATTCAGCTATTAGGATAAAATGTTTCCAGTCTCCCTAATTTAGGCAAGTCCTGACACAGTGCTATGTTTCCTACATGATCCAGATGAAATCTTTTGACAGCCTTGGAACTCTCATTTATTTCCTGGTCTAGATGCCTATTCTGTGGCCCCAGAATTACTATAGAGGAGACATACTGTGAATGGTCCCATAGAAACAGGTGGTAGAGTAACGGAATTCTAGCAATAGGCTCCCCTCCTCAACATCAATTTTTCTTTCGTCTCTATAGTATTTAACAAGTAGGCAGAAAGGGAAAGGCTGGCATACAAATGAGAGGATGCTGCAAAAAGCAACCCCAGGCTTTTTAGGAATCCTCAAATCTTTTCAGGGGTTATTGGTATTTATCTGGAAAATATCTTTGGAATATGTCTTGTGTGTAGGAATGCATAAAAGATAACACCTTGCAAAAGTCAAACATATAGGTTTAATAATGTGCAACTAATGAAGATGGCTTATAAATGAAATACCACCTACACATTTAGTTCCCTAAATATATTATACTATTAGTTATTAAAGTTAGATCTATAAGTACAAATTGTCCATATGTGGGAAAGTAAATCTGTTTTTAAATTAAAGAGAAATTATTATTCTATTTCTTAAAAATAAAACTATCAGAATATAATTCAAGTGTAGCTGCTCATAGTCACTGAATAAGTTTAAATTTGATAATAAAACATTTAAGTTTCAACCAATGCACCTTTGCTGAAGCACATTTAGCTGAAATAACTTCGAGTCTGGTTTATTTCCATCACATATAGTACATTTTTCCAACAAGAGCATGTACATTCAATATAGAACATTTCCAGCAACAGTTACAGTCTTTCTAGTTTCCTTTCACAGTATATTTTAGTGCAAAGCACTGGGAAGGGTAAATGTTTTTCTAGCTATAGAATCATTTTATTAAGACCTTGTGGATCTTTAACATTTTAAAATTTTATACAAAAAGTATATAGATGGACAGGGTCCCTCCTAAGTACAGGTGTGAACCTATATAAAAACATGGTATATTTTCTGCTGTACCTTTTATAATTTGACACAAATAACTAAAAAATAAAATATTCCCTAAAAAGTACAAAGTACTGATAGACAAAAACCTGCCCAAAATTTCATAAAGATAGATGTACTTCTGTTTTTTCTAAAATCTTGATTACAAAAATGGATGAGAATTCATCATTTTCTAAATTTACAGTAGGAATCAAATATTATCTAAAGTGGTCCTTTAAGATTTTTCTTGGGAGGAAAAAAATCAGGGTTTACACCCGCATCTTCGTTTTGTAGCAATATTTAAGGAAATAAACTAGTATCATAAGAAGTGGTTGTGCATGGATTGTCTGCATCCATAAAATATCAGTAAGCTATTTATTACCTTCATATTAATATTAGTAAATGTGTGGTCTTTAAAAAAATAGAAACTGAAAAATAAGGTTGCATCTATCATTAAAGTGCTTTGTATAAAATTTAAAGAAAAATAGGGGAATGTTTAATTTTCATAAAAACCTACATTTACAAGTGAAAAATGTAATGATCCATGCATGAAAATGAACTGGAACTTTCCTGTAGTATATATTTTAGAATGAAACTTTCAAACACTTAAGTGCTGGAGAACAAGCTAGAAATAAATGGATGCAAAAATAATTACAAATATTTAGTAGGCTAAATATTTATAATGTATTGATACTATTTTGTCTTTTGTTCCTAACATACACTCACTAGAAAATCATTTATCTATACAATTCAGATGAAAATTTTGCCAAATAAAGTGAAACAAAACTAAAATCATTGCTATTTCTTCAGGTTGTTGATCACTTAATCAACAAATTGTTTAGAAAACAAAATTTGTAACATTTTTGTAGAAACTGTAGACCAAATGCACAAGGTCAAGGGTGGTTAGCTGATGGGCTGTGATGACAACATGTAATGTCACAGCTACTTGAAAGTGCTGGAATAGGCAGTGCCTTAGAAACAAGTGGTTAGATGGTTATTATTTTAGTCAGAAAACAGCAGTTATAGTTGAATATTTAGAAAAATGTTTTTCTTTTTTTCCTCATAGTACCATTTGAAGATGTTTAGTGGTTCTAACACCAATTTAAAGTCTTTCCACAAAAATGAACTCCAAACCTTTTCGTACATCACTTGAAGTTATCTGAGGAGAAATGGGAATAAATGAACACTTTTGAGTTTACCAATAAAACCTTGTTTTTAAAATTATGCAACAGTAATTACTTTTAAAAGATGGTTTCATCTCAAGTTTTCCACACAAATAAAAAAAAAATGTGTGATAATCAAACCACAACATTTAACCTACACAACACTCAAACTAGTATTTTGCTTTAGAACCTGAATCTGAAACTAATTTAATACTCATAAATACATTAAATGTCTTAATACAAGGGACACAGGTATAGAAGGTAAACTTTTAAAATATATATAGACTTGAGAAAACAAGTACAGGGAGTCTACTCATTTTTGTTGCATTTTTAAAAATCTACATTTGTTCTAAAACCTTCTTTAAAAGGAATATTTTTTGGCCGGGTGCAGTGGCTCATGTCTGTAATCCTAGCACTTTGGGAGGCCAAGTTGGGCATATCATCTGAGGTCAGAAGTTCAAGAGCAGCCTGACCGACGTAGTGAAACCCCATCTCTAATAAAAATACAAAATTAGCCAAGTATGGTGGCACATGCCTGTAATATCAGCTACTTGGGAGGCTGAGGCAGGAGAATGCTTGAACCGGGGAGGCGGAGGTTGCAGTGAGCCAAGATCATTCCACTGCACTCCAGCCTGGGCAACAAGAGCAAAACTCCTCTCAAAAAATAATATTTTTCTTTTTTCCAAATAAGAATTTTACTTTTCTTACAACACACAACCACAAAAAAATCCCTAGTTAATAATATTAACTATGTTAAAATGATCACCAAAAAGGTTAGTAAAAAGAGAGGGAAAAATAAGAGTATCTGGAACCTAAGCAAGCATTGTTTCCATAAATCAAAACTAAAAAACAGTAACTAACATATATTCCCAAGGAGAAGGGAAAAAAAATTCTAACTTCTGTTTACCAACTTTCCCCCTTTGCCTGGAAGCACTATGTTAAAAGTAAGTGATAAATGCTAATCATTTTTAATTCAATTTGGGGATTTTTTTCTTCTTCTGAGTGCAGCACTTTATTTAGCCATCACAGATTAATTTTTACAATAATTACAGTGCCTCAAAAGTTTTTCCTATAATTATCATCTTCACAAATTCATTCTAATATATTTAAATTTCCTACAATTCATTAATTAGTAGACTAAGTCACTAAATCAAATTAAACTTGTGCAAAGTTAGTTAAACAGAAGACTTCTATTGTAAACATAAACCAATATAAATGTATATATTTTACAACATTAAAAGGAAAGCACTGACCCTGTGCCATCTACCTATAACTACATCGCATTGTCCTGTGGAAGATAAGTTCTGAAGTTAACTTTTGTTCCCAAGCCACCGGAATAAAGGACACTGAAGAGGTAAATGCAATATGCACATTACTCTTGCAGTTCCCATTGCCATGAGATATATGGAAGCAAACATGTGTTAAAATGGAATCAGCTATAAATTATGGTCAAATGATTTGTTTTTTTTTTTAGTTCGATGGGGGGAAAAAAAAGCAAAACTCTGTAACTGTTCCTCACCAGACAAGAGCCTTAGATCTTGTACTTCGGCCTTTGGTTTTGTTTCCTTCAGGTGAATTGGAAGCATTTGCCTTATGAGTTTTCTTATGATGTTCAAGATAAGTCTTTTTGGCAAATGCCTTTCCACATTTATTGCATCTGTGAAGAGAAAAGTTTTTTGTGACTTTTACTTCAATACCAACGTCAGCTACTTCATACTTTTTACTAGGAGAGTTAGAAGTGCCATCATGTTTTGAATCACTATGTTTTGCTTCATCCCTCGAAGGGCCTCTTTTTGCCACTTTATTTAGAACAAAATCAATGGGCTTTTTTATAGCTCTGATCTCTAAACTGGCTGTTATTTTCCCAAGATAACGAGATGACTTTTTATGAACCACAGTTATATGTCGTATCACATCGCGTTTCCGACGAGTTTCATAAGTGCAAAGAGGACACTTGTAGAATTTAACATAAATGTTATTTCCATCTGTGTGCAACTCGATGTGTTTAGTCAAGTTCTGTTTGGAAGTAAACTGACGTTTACAAAGTTTACAGTAAAGTTGCTTAAAGTCAAAGCCAGCTGAAAGTTTTGGTTTCCTGGTTTTTTGCTGGCCACCTGCAGCTGACGGACTAGTTGATTTAGGGCTTTCAGAGTCTTGCTTAACTTTATTTTTCTGTGCTGCCGGTGTGTTCTTTTTTTCATTTGAATGATTTGTTCCCTTTAATTCATTCTGCGGAGAATGGGTAATGGAAGGGGGTGAAGATTCTACAGAATCTGCTGGTTCAACTTTAACTTTTATTTCTGAACTGTTGGCAGTATTATTAGGGCCTTTCTCTCTTTTAGAGTTTGTTCCAGAAAGAGTTATCTTGTGGACAATTTGCATATGTCTTTTGAGCATTATTTGTGAACTGTATTTCCTCTTGCAAAGGAGGCATTTGCATGCAGTTAAATTGTATTCAGCCTTTGAAGACGACTTTTGTTTTCGAGTCTTAAAAGATTTTTTAGCAGAAATAGAATCCAAGAACAAAGGTTGCCCAGGCTTTGTTGCTATATCAGGAGTAATTGAATCTCTCCTTAGTCCTCTATGAACTTCATCAAAATGCCTCCTTACATTTGCTTTTGTAGCAAATGATTTACAACATACTGGACAACTCCTACTTAATGGAACTAGAACATTCTTACTGCGTCCTTTAGAGGATTGGTTTGGATTCTTTCGTGTTTCAATGTACTTTTTTAGTTCTTCCATCTTTTTCTTGTGTACTTTTCGAATGTGACGGCGAACGCCTCGTCTAGAATTGAATTCTTTTCTACAAAGACAACATATCAACTGGTGACCAAAATCAGAATTGTCAGACGTTTCCAAGTCAGCCTGTGACTCATGAGGCTGTTCATCAGATGTAGGTGCAACTTCATCTGTAACAATCTCAGCAGGAGGGGGCTCTACAGTTTCCACCTCTGTATCTATAACTGGTACTGTTTTTGACTGTTCAGTGCTAGTTTCCTGTATTTGAACTTCAGTTTGTTCAGGAGTACTGCTTGACTCTGTGACTTCAACAGGATTATCAGTCCTTGAAATATATTGAAACACTGCATTTTGATTTGTTTCTATGGGTTCTAGCTTAATAATATATTCTCGTTTGTCCACACTTGGATATATGGCTTCTAGGAGATCATTTATGGCTTGGCTTTGTTTATCATTTACATCAGGAAGGTCTGTTAAGGAAAAAACAAAATTTTAATCTGAAGTAATTAGCCTGCTTTAGCCCTCTAATATTTTGAGATATATTATGAACCTTAATCTCAGAATCTATTACCAGTTTAGTTGTATAAGAGCATTATCTACTTTTCAGTATTTTACAAAGATAAAAACTAGTATTAAACTAAAATTTCCTTTAAATTCTCATCATAATATACAAAAATGTTAAGGAATATATACCACCTGAAGGGCTGCTTTTGCTCCAAATGCCCTTAATATAAAATATATAAGCACTTACGTGTCCTAAACAATAAAAATATTTCATATCTTTCATCTGAATATTTTAGACTAGCAAAGGCAACTCAAAGTTCTTATAACTCAAGATTGATAAAACAGCATGAAAAACGTTACTACATAAACAAAAATGGTATTTTTTAGAAAACATGACAGCATTCCTATGAATTTAATCCGAAATAGTCTAATCTAATCTAGTTTGAGCATCTTATGAATATGAAAGATTTGTAAGCAAACATGAAAACATAAGTGGCATGATGTGTAGAAGTATTTGCTAAACTCAGTCCTATTTACCTGTCTTCTTAAAATGACACAATTTTACTAAAACAAATGATTAAAAACTTTACAGATTTATTTAAAAACTAGAGGTAGTTTTACTTTCTTGCACAATAATCACACCCTCTACAGGCAATCAAATATCCTATTGTAACCAGTGTTGTCTAACACTGGTTAGACTTCCTTATATTACACTAAAATCTAGCTACGAATCTAGAACCAAATCTGGTATCTATACAAATCAGGAAGTGATTCATTATATGAATAAAGTACTGCCTATAAGAAAAATACTTTCAACAAGTATTTCTAGAATGAGTATTGCCAAGACGAGTGCGCAATAATCTAGCAAATCCATTTATCCATTTCACTCTATAAGTTAACTCTACAACTAAAAAATAATAACTACCAAAAGACAGACTAATTTTCTACTAGTATTTTAATTAAAAGGTTAGATTTGAAATGAATCTCTATAGACTGCTTTTTAATTTAGATCTCAATGAGAAAAAGAACAGTAAGATCAAATAGGAAATTTTTTCAGATAAATATGAAGTATGAAATTTTTATTTAATCAATGCCCTATAATATACTTTAAGTCAACTTTGTATAATTAAAGCCATACTTTGTTATTTGGAGATTGGATTTCATACCCATCCCTAAAAGGTTAAGTTGAAAAATGCCCAAAATCCACCAATGCATCTATGGTATCAGACTGACAAAGTAGGTTCTACATTTTTGTAAGTCAACAGAGAATTAAATCCCTAAACAAGAAATAAGGCAAACCATTATTGAATAATTTTTAAATTTACATTAATTCTTTAAAGAAAGAAAAATAATACCATTAGACATACTGCTAACTTAATCATACAGAGACAATACACAGCATTCAAAACCAACATTCTGTTCCACAAAGACTTTGTCTCTGTCTGCTATCTGCCTTTATCACAGAAAGTTATTTTGGATCTCAAGTTAGCCTGTAACATAAGGTAATTTCTGAGAAAATGACTTATCTAAATTTTTCTGAGAACAAAACTGATCTTCAAAGCAAGACCCAGAAAATACTAGAAAGATTAATAAAGACATTTTAACGCTCTCCACCATTCCAAAGAAATGAAAAAATTTACCTCATTCTTTGCTCTTTATTCCAAACCTTCTCATTTACTTAAGGGAAATCTAAATAAGTGATCAATGACATCTGGTTGCAAGTTGTTAAAAAATAAAGACATAAAAAGTAATATAAACTAGAAAATCCACTTATGGCCCATATAAACATTCTAAAACAATATCTAATATTTTAATACAAATAAATATCCTCTTAAATCTAACCACTTATAGATCACCTATAGGAAAATTCAAGTGGAAAGCACTGATATGAAAGTATCTAAGAAACTGAATATAACATTGAGTCAAGTATTTAATTTTATTCTCCATCTCCATCTAAAAATTATCTGGAACTAGACATTATTATCAAATTATCAGTGACAAGATACCATTTCAATGCAAATTTATAGTTGCACTGTAAGAATACTTAGCTGTAAAATGCATAACTGAATATATGAATAAAACTTACTGTCATCCATCTGGAGACTTGGTGGGCAGTAGAATTTTTTATGGGTAATTAAATTTGGTAATCCTCTGAAGAGACTGCGGCACAACTTACATTCAAAAATAGTGTCCACATCTTTTAATAAAATATGCTTAAGTTGTTTAGTTCCTGAGAGAGAGAAAAACAGAAAAACTTGACACAAAATGTAATTTTAACGTGCACTGTTAAACTGGACAACCACTGCTGACCATCCAAAAGTGCAGTTACTATTTGACAACAAATTATAGGCATTGCCAATTTCTACCACAGTATATTTAGAACTAAGTTATAGACTAAATTCTAAGCAAAATCCTACTATCATTTGGAAATTAGGACAACTAAAATTGATGCCTCTTTTCCACTTCAACAGCCAATCAATTCTTGATATATCCCAAGGCAGTGGTTCCGACATGAGGTTGATCATTACAATGAGCTAGAAATAAAGATATGCGTAGCCCTCCGCTAGAGGTTCTGATTTAATAGATCTGGAGTAGGGCAGAAAAATTAAATCTTCCCCCATTACTCCCTGCCAAACTTTTGGATGGTGCTTTCAAGCTCTTTTCTGTATTAGGAAGTAAGCAAGTTTGTCAATACATTTTCCCCTGTATTCCTTAAAGAAGGACAAAACTGTATTACAGGATTGCCTGTGACTTTTCTTTTTAAATTCAGCTCAAATTACTTCAGGTTCTGAGCCAACATGGGATTATACCTATTTCATGTGATGCTCCACAAAATAGAGAATCTTTGTCCATACTCAGAAATAATTTTGAACTTTGCTTAGGCCTCTTGACAGCACTATAAATTTGTTAAAAGCCTTTCTCCCTTAAAATATCCCAATTACAATTAAGTATTGATATAATTATTACTTTGATGCCTACCTTCTCTACTAAATTATACATTCCAAAGCAGCCAAGAATAAGCCTATCTTATTTACAAGTGCAACGTGTTCAGCCTATATAATGCTCAAAAACTATTTGTTGAAGAAACGCTACTATCTAGGGAATCTAAGTACTATGACAGAATATCTTTAGGCAGAGAAAAAAATAAATGGCAAAAAGTACCCAATCTTTAAAATAAAAACATCTACCAGAAATAAAATACAAATGGAAGGTCTTTAGTCACTGTTTTCCTACAGCTCTTTGTCGCAGGTAAGTTGGTAAAACTGATCTGCAGTACTTTACTAATTAATGTGTCTTTACTTTCCTCAAATAAAAAAAAAAAATTTAATGACATTATATTGACTTGAACAGGAAAAGCCCAAGTGCCCAGAAAAATATCCTTAAGGTTGTCTAGGTGCAAAGTGTTGTGTCATTTAAGACGCATTTACCTGTCTATTAAGCTCTGGGATTGCTAAAGAGTGTAAGATATCTTAGTAGTATAATTAATATTGTAGGTTCTATAAGAGTTAAATAAAACAGTTCAGATTAAATCTTTTACAATCTGTTTACATTTAATCTTTGAAGTGTATTTCATCATTTTGAAAACAATAATAAAATCATTTTCCCCACTCCCCAAAACACACACACACACACACACACACACACACACACGTACTCGCACACAGAGAGAGAGAGAGAGAGAATTATTGTTGATCCAAGCATTCAAAATCCTACTGCAAAAAAGTTACTAGGTTATCACAACTTTACTAAGTCTTTAGATCTAGATTCCAAACCTGATATTATCTACTCATGTGACCTTAAAGAGCTTTATAATCTTTACACTTTGGTTTACTCATGTTATAAAATAGAACAAACCTAACCAAACCTATATTGAAGAATTATTCAAGAAAATATGAACCTAAATCCCAGGGAAATTATATACTTGAGTTTCTACTGGAAAAAAATGTATAGAATGAAATAATTTCTATCATTTCCCAAATCCAAATCTATGTTTACTCCACTAGTAAACTTACTACAAAATCAGAAAACATAAATTTAAAAAGATTCAGAGAATAGCCTGCGTGTTATTCTTTATATAAAAGTAGATTCTCATATATATACATTTCTGAAGTCCATTTCATATTACAAAATACTTTAGCAATGGACTGCTAATATGTTTAGTTCATAGTTAACTTCGTAAGTGAAAGACAAACAATGAGAGGTAAAATGATTATAAAAACGCTTTGGTTAAGGCTTTCTGATTGACCTATATATAGTTCTCAGGAAGTGTAGGTGAGTATAATAGCAGTGGGAAGAAAACAGGAAACTTCTGCACACTGATTCTAAACTATAAGACCTGCCAGACAGATTCAATTCTGTCTTTAGAATAGTCAAAAAAGATTTAAGAGGCAACACAGAGATAATCTGAACTAGGTTTAAGAATTCAATTTAAGATTTAAATAAGATGCTGTAAATGGTGGCAGATTTAAAGCATAAAATAGTCTGTAAACAACATGAGATTATATATAAAAAATAGTCAAGTGAAAAATATAAGACTATATCCCTAAATCAGACATATCATTTTGTCTACCAGGTTCTCAATCACAGAAAAATAAAGATACTATCCATTTATTAACTAGTCTTAATTATACAGTTAATTATATTCAGTAGGGACTGTATATTTATTCTCAATAAACGTCCAAAAAAAAAGTATTTTCCTCTAACCTTAACTAATCAGTCTTAATTATCAATCGCAAACGCTTCCCCCAACACACACACACACACACACACACACACACACACACACACACTCTTTCTCCCTCTCTCTTTCTGTGTGTGTGTGTGATTGTTGACCCAAACATTCCAAATTTCTTTCAGGTCCACAAAATGTTCTCTTTTCTTCCCTTTTCAGGCCTTCACCTATGTTTTTTTCCTCTCTGACTACAATGTTCTCCCACTTTCCACTTTCCTGATCTGACTTACCTCTAATAATCCTTCAGATCCCAGGTTAGATGTCACTTCCTCCAGGAAGCCTTCAATGACATCTTATCTGCTTTGTTGTTGTTGTTAAAAATCCTTCATCTATACTTTCATAGCACCCTAGACATCTATACTAGCTTATGCTACTATTTTGTAATTAATTACTTTTCCATATCCCCATTAAACAGAAGATTAGAACAGAGAAGATATCTCTGATGCTCCGCATTACCCCAGCCCTCAGGATAATGTGTGATTAACATTTGCTAAATGGCATACTAGACAGCTCTATGTTTTAATGAAACCTTCTCTAAAAATAAGACTTTTAAAAATCTACATGAAGTTAACAGAGGAGTCAAAAATGAGATATTAAAACTCTTCTAATTCCACTTACATATTTAACAAATGAGAAAAATAAGATGTGTTGCAGTCCACAGATAGTAAAAGTTTTTCCCTTAGTTTCAGTCACCATTTGAGATTTTGTTATGCTTTTCCCATGGGGATGGAATGGCTTTATTCAAAGTCAGCTACCATATTCTGATTGCTCTGCTCACTTACAATTGGACACAGCCAGTTCTAAGTGCCTCTGTCAAGAGCTAGCTAAAACTTCCTGTCACTTGAGACAACACATGTGGTCATCTAGACAGCAACATAAAGTTATTCCACTGCTCTTGATGCTAAGAAACAGACGGCCATGCTGCCTTCCTTCTTCTTTTCTTAAACTGCTGTCTTTCTTGCCTTAGGTTTTTAAATTATCTTAGAAATCACCACTTACTGCTTACATAGATCAGTGCCTTTCAAACATCCAGCCCTCCAAAGGAAAGGCTTGTGATAGCTAAAGATTAGTGACTGTATAATCCAGATTTTCACACATAATAGGTGCTCAATAAAAATTAGTTAAATTTCATCAGCATTTACCTTGTGTTACTCTTTAATGGCAAGTGCATTGCATGTACTGACAAAAATGTTTAAAATATATTTTCAAAAGGAATCAGTATTCAATTTTACATTACGTTGGATAGCAGTTACATTACAATATGACAATATTAATTCTAACTCTTTTATGCTAGAAAAAGACAAGGTTTCATTTTCTTCCTTAATACACTGATATTTTGGTCAACACCCATTTTAACTGATGACAGGAATGCTTCTTAAATTATACTGCTTGCTTACTATTGGCTCAAACATAAACTCAATCTTATTTAAGATGACCACTCAACTATAATATCATCCAAACATTGCAAGTAAATAAATGTATGTTCCTTATCACAACTCCTGAAGGAAATTTCTTACTGATTTTAATCAGTAAGATTAGAAAGTTTTATCCTAAAACTATCACCTATAAGGGTTAGTTAAAAAAAAAAATATGTTAATTATAGAGCACTGCCACATACCACAATAAACTTACAAGTAGAATAAAATTATCTTAGGACAGTGCCTAGTTGGGGAATCTTTTGGTTTAAACTAACAAACATTTACTGAGCATATATTAAATACCAGGTACAATGTTACTCATTGGAAATAAGAAAGATACGGTCTGTGTCCCGCTGAGAAACTCACAGATTAATATAAATGGCTGTGGTCTTGGGAACATAACACCAGATGACATGCTTTGAATCTGAATGTAAGAACAACAAATCAAACAAATCTACTTTTTTCTTATACAAAAAACAACTAGTCCCATTTTAAATTTTTAGTAACTCTACATAACAACGAAAAAGGAAAAATTCATCATAGGTATGGCACTCTCCTATGTACCTCAGAAAAATCACATCCACCTTATGCTTTGCCTTCAGAATCAGGACTGAAGCGTTGTCACCATTCAGTCACAGCTTAAACTAACTGCAATTAAAGTTGTTTTAAGCAATTAAAAGAAAAGCCTAAGAGTTAAATGATCAAACCTAAATTTAGAAAGATAATGACAGTAAACATCACATGAAGCTAATTCTCATTTTGCATTACCTTACTATTTAAGTTACAACTTATTCCTCCCTTAGAGTCAAAAAAAGATAGAGCTCCCTGCAGGTACTACTCTAGCATATTCTAGCCTTCTGGTATCTCTTTATTTGTCTGCTTAACTTGCAAGTTAAGCTAAACGGGTTTTCTTTTTATAATAAGTAATATATGTTTGTGGTCTTAAATAGTAAAGTACAAAAGGTTTGTAGAATCTTTTCTACAAATTATACATTTCTATTCTTACAATATTATATATTTCTTGAATTTAAAAAGAAGATGTCAGCTTCATATTAAAGACCAGTCTTGAATACTGGACAAAATCATTTTTTATCTTTCCAACCATAGGGGCATTCCAAAGCTCCTTTGCCTCTACCAGACAACTGAGAGATTCTGAAAGAATATTAAACTCAACTAAACCAATTTAATAAATACCTAAAAGATATTTAGGCCGGGCGCGGTGGCTCAAGCCTGTAATCCCAGAACTTTGGGAGGCCGAGGCAGGTAGATCACGAGGTCAACAGATCGAGACCATCCTGGTCAACATGGTGAAACCCCGTCTCTACTAAAAATACAAAAAATTAGCTGGGCATGGTGGCGTATGCCTGTAATCCCAGCTACTGAGGCTGAGGCAGGATTGCCTGAACCCAGGAGGTGGAGGTTGTGGTGAGCCGAGATCGCGCCATTGCACTCCAGCCTGGGTAACAAGAGCGAAACTCCGTCTCAAAAAAAAAAAAAAATTTAATAAATATGTAAAGGTAGTATACTTTCTATCTGCTATTTCAAATTTTGTTTAGTTTGGGGAAAGAGGTCAAAACAGGAAGGAAGATGAAGTGTTACAGAAAGGAGGGAAATTTGAAGACACCAAATTACAAACACGATCCTAGCAGGACGACACAGCCAAAGCAAGACTACACAAAGGGCAAGGCACAGTCAAGGTAGTACTAGAAGCCAGGGCTTCAGAGCAAATAGCAGGTCTCGAGTCAGCCAATCGTCAGGAATTACCGAGTAGAAAACCTGCAGCTGCAAAACAGGCAGGCTTTATCTAGAGACTGATGTCAAAAATAGTTGACTCTACAGTCAATAAAGCAAAGGTACAGAAGAGTACGCAGAGTGCACTACCATTTGTATTAAGAAGAAAATGAGAGAGATATGTTTGCATATGTATAAAAAGGTCTCTGGAAGAAGACACATAAACCATGAAGCGGTGTTGCCTGAGCAAAGCGGAGCTAAAGGACAGAATAGCATAGAAACTTACTTTTTCCTCTATAACCTTTTGTACTTTACTATTTAAAACCGCAAACATATGTTACTTATTATAAAAAGAAAACCCATTTAGCTTAACTTGGAAGTTAAGCAGACAAATAAAGAGATACCAGAAGTCAATAAGAATTTGTAATTTAAATCCAAGAAAACAGTTCAAAGCAAAAGCTGAAGTGTCAGGCAAACAGAATGGGTTAAAACTGGTCAGTCAGTATAGCATACATGGAGTGGTGGACAACCTTTTATGAACTTCCAGCTTGCACAGGAATTAATACCTGGTCATAGACAGCCCCGTGTAGGCAGAGGAAGGTGAGACACAAAGGAGATGATACAGGAGCTGAAGATAACTATCTGAGCTTGAAGATAAAGTTAGCTAACCTAACATATTACTACTGCTCAACCTGATTTATACCCTGTAGGTTAACAGAAGCAAAAGCATGGACTTCAGGATTCTATCTTCAAATATCTGTCAAAGATACAGGGCCGGGTGTGGTGGCTCATGCCTGTAATCCAAGCCCTTTGGAGGCCAAGGTGGGCGGATCACCTGAAGTGGGAAGTTCAAAGATACAGAGCACCACCAGGATAGTTCTTTAAATGCAATGTGTGTGACCTAGTTGTAGTGGAAAGAGCCTAGAAATAGATGAGTCATTGAGGGTGTACTTGGGAGTAGACTGGAACAGGGAAGAACTGACAGAGCCTCACAGCTAGAAAGGACCTTACTTCCCAAGTTATGCAGTCCAAACTTCTGTATCATTCTCCCAAGGTTTTAGTCAGTCTCAACTTAAACGCCTTAGTGACAAAGAAGAGCTACCATAGTAGACTTCAGATTAATCATAAATGCAAGAGATTACTACCTTGAAGAAATTAAAATTTCTTAGTTACAGGATAAAGAAATGAAGTAAAATAATTCTTTTTTTAATCCAAAATTAGTTTCTTCTTATCACTCAGTGTATTTCTAAATCACCTCTAATTAGAACTGTTGGGTACTTAGAAAATTAAAATAATAGTATTTTCAGAATTTGCCTAAATAAAAAATAACTTGAAAGGCAAATTTGCTGATATCATTTTAAAAAAAACACAATTCAAAAGATCAACATAAAATGGCTTTGAAATTATATACTATTTCAGATTACCCGTTTCACTGCCTCACTTCTTTAGCTTAGAGAGTAAAAATATGACAAACACAGAGAACAGATAAGATCACAACACAATAAGAAAATAATTTCATCATTAAATATTTGCTTTCTAAAATTAAAAAAGGTTTTTGGAATCTTTTTAAATTTTGTACCCACAGAGATTTTGGATACGGGTTCTTGTTGAAAAGGTTTTTTTTTAAACAAGTCATAGCACTTATGACTTAATTAATTCTAAATTTCTTAATCAAAAAACACTATAATAAACTGAGACAGTATAGCTTTATTAATTCTGAATTATAAATTTTAAAAAAGAAACCTATAACAAGTAATATTACTAAATATGAAAAGCTGTTGCTCTCATTTCCATGGTATAAGAACAAAAAAAAACCTTTAATCTCTATTTGAAAAGTAGCTAAAACAAACAGAAATTATTTTTTGTTATGCCAGAAATATACTGTCCCTAATGAGTAAAATTATATTTTAATTGAATTTATCACAGGAAAATTTGACCCATAAATTATTTGTCAGTTGAGGGCAATTATCAAAAGTAAAAAACAATAAAAAATCCCTAAAATAGTTTATACCACCATCCAATATAAGGATAGGCACTTGGTATACATTCAATACTTACTGAATTAAATACAGATAAAAGCAATACCATGAGTACTACAGATGAAAAGTCTAAGAAATGGATCTTTTGGAGAGTCAGAGAAAAAATAAATATTTTAATTTAGATTAAGGGATAACCTATTTCTTACAATCCTAAAGTAAAGCAAACATATGCTTTTCCCTTGTATAACAATTTAAAAACAAGCATCTCAAAAAATTTCTCATGAATACACAAGTAGTTACATATGAATTATATTTTCCTTTGAACCTCAGAAATTTTTCATTAAGGTAGTAAGATTTAAAATAAAATGACAAGATATGCTAAGCCTCTAAGTGTTCATCAGTTAGATATCCATCAGTTATATTTATTGGCTTGTCCACATTTGAGTGCATAGTCTATAGTGTCAGAGAAGTCAAATCTACAAGAGGTGGACAAGTGGATCATAGAAATCACAGCAACCTAACATTTTACTGATAACATAGGAGCGCTAACAGTTCCCAATCATTTTACATGTTGTAAGTAACACCTGTTTTTAAACATTGGATTACAACTACACAATTATATTTATTATAAAGCTAATTCTTATTATCAGCTAATAAAAATAAAATCTAAGCAAATGTATCTGAAGATATCAGGGCTGGAATATTGCCTTTCTTCTATCTTGTGCTCTATTAAAGATGCCAAAATTCCACAAACTCAAGTAGGGAAAAGAAAGTGAATCACATAAACAGAGATAAGGTAATTAACCTAGAACAAATGACTTCTCAGACATTCTGAGTAATCTACTATACCAAAGCTCATGAAAACCCAGAATAATTTACTGCCTTTTGAGAGTTTACACAAAACATGCCAAAAGATATCAAGGGATCCTTTAAGAAGTGCTTTAACAGAAAATACACCACATAATGTATTTCTTTAAATCATACTAAACGAATTTATTTTAAAATGAATATACCACATATAGTACTGAAGAATAATTTCTAAACCATGTCAATATTTATACATCCACTTTTTTAAATATGAAAATTTTAAATATTCTATAAAGAAAACCAACATATACATTTTAATGTTTTTCAAAAATTATTTCTAAGGACTTCTACGTAATTTTTAACTACTATGTGAAGATTGAAAAATATATCCTAAAACATTCATACCTGATCGAAAGCACTCAATTATTTGTTGAATACCAGATTTGGATGTCTGCAGTGGTTGCTGTAACAAAGGAGGATCTCCAGGTTCCAGGATATAAACTACATGGAAGACAAACACCCACCCCAATCCCCACAAAAAAAGGGTTATTTCAATCATTTACTATTAAAGTAAAACAATGGCTTGCTACAATTACATTAAGGATAATCACACTTCTGCACACATGCGCATACACAGACATATATATAATATGCAGATACATATAATTTTAACCATCTTGATAAGGCAAAATGAAACATGGAGAAAAAAGCTAAAACTATTCTCAAGTAAAGGTTAAATTAAGGCTGCTTAAAGCTAGATATTAGGTTTAAGTACAAATACCTTACTATTTTGGTATTATTTAGTATACATTCTTCATGTTTGCCTTCTTACTCCCCTTGAAGAGGAACCACTATATTTAATAAAAATTCTAAGGCCTAGCCACACTTCATAAATCATTCCAAAATCCTCTGGATAATCTGGTAAAACTCTGGACATTTATGAACAAAAAGTCAAAACTCACTGCCTAAGGAAATACCTGAACAAGTGCACAATGATATATGCAGAAGAATGTTCACTGTAGTGCTCTGAAGCACTGTATATAATTGAGAGAAATTTCAAACACTTTAAAAGTCTCTTAGCAGTGACCAGATCGAATAAACTATGAAATGTCCATACGACAGACATTCTCATGGCTATTAGAAAGCATGAGCTAGTTCTATGTGTATTTACAACAAAGGATAATAATTGTTAAGCAACAAACACAAGTTATAGAATATGATCTCATTTACATTAATACATAGATAGATACAGAAATACATAAATTTAGTACATATTTGTATATATGTATAAATGCTGTTAGGGCGGGCTTTTAGGGATGACGTTTGATTTCTGCCTCACACTTTAATGCTGCTTCAAAGCCTGGCTTTCAAAAGCATGCATTTTAGAAAGAACACATTTTTCAGTAAGTAAAAATAATCTTTCCATTAAAAAAAATGTTTAACTCATTTTTATTTCGAGAGGTTTATATTATCCCTAATGCCGAAGATTCCCAGATTAACAGTATAGATATAAAATAAATTACAGTAATATGAATAAAGGCAACGGAAAAGGAAAACTGAGCTTCTTCATCAGCTATCAAATAGAGAAGGCTGTGGCGGAGAAAAACTCACCATTTTAATTATCTCTTTTTTAAATAAGCCACAATGTTCTACTAAACTATGACTGCTGTAATGCAGGACCACCTGCTTAGTGTGAGGAGAAATGAAGGCTGATTTCAATGATGTATGCTACTCCTGCTTCAGGTTTTAGGCTTAGCCAGTACTTAGCTTTCTGATAAGGGGGCAAAACTAGCCTATTGTACTATGTATATAGATACAGGCTTAGATTCACCTTTATGCAAGACTAGTGCTCAGTGTACACAAACAGGAGGAATGATGTTTCAGGACCAACTCATTTCATCAAGCAAAATTTCCCCAATTTTAAGAGACACTAGGCATGGTGCAGTGGCTCAGGCCTATAATTCCAGCACTTTGGGAGGCTGACACAGAAGGATAGTTTGAGTCAAGCAGTTCAAGACCAGGCTGGGCAACATCGCAAGATCCCATTTCTACAAAAATTAGCCAGGCATGGTGGCTCATGCCTGTAGTCCCAGCTACTTGGGAGGCTGAGAAGATCACTTGAGCCCGGGAGGCACAGGTTGCAGTGAGCTGTGATCACGCCACTGCACTCCAGCCTGGGTGACACAGCAAAATTGTCTAAAAAAAAAAAAAAAAAAAAACCACACACACACACTTTAGGTGTATTTTAGATGAATAACACACACACACACATGCACACGCACACGCACACATACACTCATTTTGGGAATATCTTACATTGGCACTAACTGCAGTGATTAAAAACATAAGACTCCAGGCCTGGACTGTCCGTGTTTAAATTCTTTTTCTGCCATTTACTAGATACCATTAGGGCAAATTAAACTCTCTGATTTCTAATTTCTCTTTTCTCATTTCTAAAATGGAGATTTTCAAAGTACTTAGATCATAGGGTTGCACAGGGGTTAAATAAGCTAATACAGATCGACTGCTTAAAACAGAGCCTGGAACATAGTAAGTGCTCAATAAACATTCCACCATCACCATCATCAACATGTATCCATCAATTGCTTTCCTGACATCAAAAGCTAAAAAATCTTTTTTCAATATCAAACAGAAAGAGAATTCGACCTCTTAGGAAAACAGAAGTTTGTAAACAGACCAGTATCATCTCTTTGAACAGATGGATTTGTTCTATCTATACATTATAGCAACAGGTAACTACCCAAAAAAAAAAGTTAACTACAAAAAGAAGGGTGAAAACCCACACAAGTTTAAAAAATGAAATGCTTCAAAGTTTGCCTCTATCAGTTACAAGAATTCTAGAATTGGAAGATGAAAAAACAGAAATGAATAAGGGAAGGATATTGGGGAAAACACTCTTCTCCTTAGAGCTCCTTCATTTACGAATGTGTTCCAGAAAACCTTTTATATAAAATACACCAACTTCTACTTCCACATGACAGCATCTCATTTTAAAGCTAGAGCAAAATGTTCTTACACATCACCCTCAGAACACTGCTTCCACCAGAACACATTTACATCCTGAGATAACCTTCAAAATAAGCCCAGGATTAGCTGAGCTGTGCCTGGATACAACCACTTGGTATCTACATCTGTGTAGCTCCCACTCTAAAGAAACAATTCTTTCTTCACTTGAAAACATACTCTTAACTCTAGAAAACCTTATTATATTAATACTTTATAAAAATTGCTTCTTACATATTCTATCATCCTCCCAAGATCAGACCCACCCAGGTTACATGATCATTTAGAAAAAAGCATCTTTCTCCCACCCAAAAACCCAAATCCTCATAACATCTTTCCTTACCATCCTTCCAAAAATACACTTCCCAGAATGTAACATCAACTTTTGTAAGAGTCTCTCCTTCCTTAAAACAAAACCCTTAAAAGATCCTTCTACTTATGATGTATTCGACTGCTTACAAACACTAGGGGGAAGAGAGAGTAGGTAGAAGATAGAGAAGGGAATTGGTGGGGGCGGGGGGGGGGGTAGAGAACATAGGAGAAAAAGAGATTGTCCATGTAACAACAACTGACAGAGTTGTGTGATAGTTACATCAAGTTCCTTGTATCATTCTAGTTTTGAAGGTTTGGAAATTTCTATTAATAAAATCTTAAAACATAACTAAGAAAATATATACACTGTCAGGTTTATAGTGCCACCCTTCACTATAAATTGACCTATCTCTTCAAGGCACAATGGCCTCCTCAGGAATATACTGCTGTCCTCTGGAGACTCACCCAGTGTTCACAATTCAAATGAGGACAGATTTTTCTCAAATATTATGTCATCTTTCATCTGTGGACAAGTTCTTTTAAAAGCTATCATACTACAACATATTTCTTTCAGTCTTGGAAATATCTTACCACTCAGCATATACCTTCCCCTGAAATAATGACAATGAACTACCCTATAAGTTAACAAACTTCTAGCTTTCCGTTCAACAAAATTGTCAGAAGGTTTGATTCATGCTAAGAAGGCAAGGAAACAATAACTACTGTTGACCAGGTAAATCTGAAAATTAACCTGCATAAAAAAAGTTTCTAGTAAAAGATGATGAAAATTTTAAACTAATGCAATTTATCTGAGTTCCTGCTAATTGGGGAGAAAAAAAAAACAAGCAAAAATATTTCAATACACATTAAAAAGTTCAACTGTAGAAAACACCTTTAAAAAGACATTAAAGTCTTCAGAAAACTTTCATTACCAGAACATACTAAATAAGGTATAATCACAGATTAGCTTATCTGTTTACTTCTTTATGTCTGTCTCTTCCCACTGAAACATTTTATGAAGAAAGGACCTTATCTGTCTTGTTCACCACTATATCCCCATTGCCTTCGACAGTACCTGGCTCTCAATAGGTATTCAATAATAATTTGTTAAAGAAATGAATGAGCAAATAAATTTCTTCGTAAATAAGATGGTTTCATTAAGTCAATTTCAATGATTAGAAGTGTTCTCAGAAAAAAAAAAAAGCTAGACTAAAAGGTCAGTGGAACATGAGTTTAAATGGCATTCACACCTGTATAGTTCCAAACTAGCAAATTCCATTCAACATGGGTAAAATATAAGTGATAATATCTTAAGTTCAAATACATAAAATATGCCGTGTGAAAGGGTCTTGAAAGATAAACAAGAGCAGTTCAATAGAAACTGGATACCATCCAGGGATTGCCCATTTTATCAGTACAGGTAAGTTACTATTGATCTCAGCAAAGTACAGTAGAGATAGGGTTGTAATACAAATTTTATTCTTACGTGTAGCAAAGTTTTCTGAAAATGAAAGCTCTTCCCTATTACTGATGACATTTTTTCCCATTAATCAGAAAATTACCTAAAATGAACTCTACTGTGTTAAAATTCAAGTACATAAGTGCAGTTAAAATACTCCAACAAAAAGCAAGCAAAAGCATTAAAAAAGTAGTAACTTTTAGGTCAAAAATAATGATAAACATCTGCCTTTAAACTAGAATAGCATAGCCTTTGTTTGATTTAGTGATGGTATGCATTCAATAATTCCCTTTTAAGTCATACTTTTTATAAAAAGCATATCAAAGTTCTAAGTAGAAAAAACTGTCAACAGTTTATATCTCAAGTTTATCAAATTAAAGTTTGCTAGTATTCCTCATGAGACTCCGACAAAAAACTTTTTCATCATCATGAATTCAACTAAACCAAATTTCATCCCATAAAATACCCTGGAAATAATTATGTATTCTATCTAAATTTTAAAAAAGAGATTTCTCTTTTATTTTGCAATATAATATGTTCTGCCCAAGAATGTTTTTTAAAGGTTACACTTAGCAAAACCTGATTCTCCCAATGACTTACGAACTTTTAAAACCCAAACTAAACTCACTTTTAGGCTTTCAGAACTATTTGCTGATGAAAATTCATAAGAAACTTTTCATTTTTAAAGTTTCAATGAAACAATGTCATGACAACAAATCTAGTATTCTGTTTTTTCCTTTCTCTTCAGTTTTAAACATTTACAGACCATAAGAGTATACTACTAACTGCAGGATGCCTTGAAAAAGAAGGAAAAAGGACTGATCTTGTGGAAATAATTTAAGGTGACATTTGCAGTACTTTTTTTAAGGGATCAAGCCGGGGAGACCTCTTGTTTGTACAAGCTTTTAGCTTCATAACTGGCTTATGCTGGGGAAAATTTTAGCCTGCTGAAGAATGACTACTGGGGCAGGAGGAAAAAAAAACTAGAAAGAGAAGGCAGAGTCGCTCTGATGGAGGGCACAGCAACCGGGACTGAGAGCGGTATACCTGGTTCACAACATCCGTGATGATGATGGTCAGTCTGACAGTATTTGTCCCTTAAAGGCATTTTCAGTGGACTCGACCTACTTTCCTTTCACTGTGAGAAGCTCTTCATTGCGGCGCGGCTGTTGAAAGAAGCACAAACCCGTCACTCGCCCTGAACTTTCTGGGGGACACTGGCTGCATTTTCCAGACACGTTCCCATCAGCAGCCCTCCGCTTTCCCTCCAAGGATCCGCACCTCTCTCGAGAAGAAAACAGAAAGACGCCTAGACCCTCCCGCAGCCCAGACTCCCCACACAGGTTCATCGCCCTACCCGGAAACGCAGCCTCGGGTGCGCAGCGCAGGGCGAAGGCCTGGCCGGCGGCTGCGGCCTCGCCGTCCCGGGCGCGCGGAGAGGGAGCGCGGTGCGCGGCGGGCACCGCGGGGCTCCGGTACGACTGAGGTCCCGCTCCCGCCGGCTGCCGGCCCACGCCGCGCCCTCCCGCCACGCACGTGCGTTGAGGTCTCTCTGAGGAGACCCGGTCCCCCCAAACAAGTGCGCCCAACTTACTCAACTCCTAGGGCGGGCCGGCGGGCGGGCGGAAGGAAGGAAGGCCGGGCGGCTGCGGGGACAGCCTGGCGTGGGAGGCGGCTGCGGGCCCCACCTGGCGCAGCCTCTGCTGAGCACGCGAGGGAACCGGGGCTCGGGCCCGACGCGTTCCCAAAGAGTCCCCGCCGGCGCTGACGCGGAAGCGCCACAGCTCACTACGTCTCTCCGCGGGCCGAGGCGACGGCGGCGGCGCCTCACGGCGTCCTCCGCGCTGTGTGGCTAGGCGGGCGGCGCGCGGGTGCAGGCAGTTGACAGGAGGAACCGCCCGGGAGCAGCCGCCGCCTCCACCGAAGAAGCCGGAACCAGAGCTGGGAGGACCTGAGGCGCCCCTCGCAGGGGCAACCGCTATTGCCGCAGCCGGGGTCTCCCCAGCGCCGCTCCACCTGCAACGGTCCCTCAGGCTTAGGAGAGGGGCGGGGAAGAATGGGGGTCTCCCCCCACCGTGGGCCTTTTCGGTGGAAGTTGTTGTTTGAGGAAACTTTATTAAGTCAGCCTCTCTTTTTCTCTGTCGCCCTCTCCCCCGGAGAGTCCAAGGTACCGCCGCGGAGCGCGTAGGAAGGGAGAAGCAGAGACTCTCCGGCAGCGACAGGGAGCGACTGACTGACCCCGGACGGAGATGGGGCGAGGGCAGGAAGTGACAAGCTCACCGAGTGGGTGGGGGGAGTGTGGCCGGCACGCCCGGGAGCGTCGCGCGCATGCGCCTGGCCGGCACCCCCGCCTGTGGAGAGGAGACGCGCTTTGCCCGCCGCGACCGGTGGGGAAGGAACCGGGGCCCGGGGCTCGAGGGCCGTGTCCAAGAGCAGGGAACCGGGGTAGGGGACACCAGGGGCGCGACCGGTCTCTCGGGAGGACCGAGAGCCGAAGCCCGGGGTGAGGTGTGAGACCCGCGGTGCGGGGAGCGCGCCCTGGAGACTGGCTGGTCGGCCACCAAACTGTTGATCTGGCTGTTCCCTGTTTAGTGGAACTGAAACTCGGGGAGGGTTGGGAAAGGACGTAGGAAGCCGAGGGCAGATGTATGAGCCATCAGTAGCGATGATCCGCAAAAGGCTGTCAGTGCATTGTTAAATGGCAACAGTTGTACTTATTTTTTGCCTGCCAACAATTTTCGAAGCACGCCTCCCAGAACTTGGAAGGTCTTTTATCAGGCCCAAGAGAGGGAAAGTATCGGTAGCAGATGGGTATTTATCCCGGCAGCTCCGCTCCTCAAACATGAAAGTCAAGTTGGGTCACGTGGGCTCACGCACTTTCCCTCCTCTTCTGCTCCCGCATTCTGCTCGGAAAATCCCCGATCGCAGTTGTCTGTCGACACAGGGCCGCTTCTTGGGGGTAAGGGAGCCGCCTCTGTGGTTTTCTTCCCAGCTCCTGGAACGAAATTCTTGCTCCTGGTGACTTCAAGCAAACATGTGTCCACTGTCGGTCAGGAAATTTTAAGAGAATAAAGCCCATTCGCCTTATCTCCGATCCTCCTCAAGATCCACCGAAAGCCTTTCCAGTTCCAACTTAAGCTACCATTGTGTGGGGTCCTGAAAAACTGAAGTTTAGTAAATAGACTGTCTTTTAGAAGAGAAAAGGTTCAATTGAGTTTTCAAAAATCCAAAGGAAAGTTTGTAAATTGATACATTTGTTACTTTTTAAATGTTGGGCTAGGCGCGGTGTCTGGTGCTTGTAATCCCAGCATTTTGGGAGGTCAAAGCGGGAGGATCGCTTAAGGCCAGGAGTTAGAGAGCAGCCTGGGCAACAAAACCCCCTCTGCCAGGAAAAAAAAAAAAAAAAAAAAGCCAGGCAGGATAGCGCGTGCCTGTGGTCCCAGCTACAGGAGAGGCTGAGAGGTAGGAGGATCGCTTGGGTCCAAAAGGTGGAGCGTTTGCATAGGTCTCCGGGAATTGCAGCAGCTCGATTATGGGGGCTGACAAGAAAGGGATAGAAAAATGATCTTAACACTTAACAGTCACATAAGTGATATGTATGATCATATACCTATCCCATAGTCGAGAAGTATCACCCAACGTGAGACTAAAATATAAAATGCCACGGTTTGTAAATTACTGTAAAATAAGTTATAATACTTCTGTGATAGTGTTTGTTATGCAGCCAATAGAAACCACATTTTGCATAATATTGTGTGGAATATGCTAAAGCTACAAAAAGGATTTTGAAATGTGATACTTTAACAGCGGGCCGTAAGTGCAATTACGAATGATTTTTATTTTCTTTTTTTGTATACTTTGCAAAATTTATAAATTAAGCATATAAAACTTTAATTAACAGAAAAATTAACTTTGAAACTCAGTAGGAAGGCTGTAATAATATGAAAATGGTATAGACTAATAAAGCACAAAAGATACAAAATTAAGTGTACATTATGAATGTCTCTAAAAAATGCAGTGAAGAAAGACTGAAAGAAACAAAAATATCTACATTGGAGATACCTTGAGTGGTAAAATTTGAGGTAAAATATTTTCATTTTCAGAGAATCTTTTCTTATTTTTATGTAATAAATGTATTTATCATAGGCTTAAAAATGAATATGCAATTCTAAATTTCCCTAACCCTGAAAAGGCTTTGCTTCAGATATATCAGTTGTTTGCTGACCAGGTGTGAGCAAAAAAAAAAAAAAAAGGTTTTGTGAGCAAATGTAGTATTCATATTTTAATGCAAAGTGGCCAGTACTAGAGGGTCCTCAAAATTGCTTGCTAACAGAATAAGTTTAGACAATCTTTGAAAAATTAGAATTAGAGTCAAGATTGAAATGTGTATGTGGGTAAAACAAATATTAAACATATCTGTATAAGAATGAATAACATTTTAAAGATTAAAATAAACCATGGAAGTTATCTAGTAAACCTTATTTTATAGATGAGAAAACTGAGAGCCAGAGAGATTAAGTAATGTGCCAGTCAGTAGGAATTTGGGGTCAGGACCTAGATTACTCCCTACTATGACAACAATACTACTAATTGACATATATTGAGTAGTTAATATGTTTTAAGCTCAATATTAGCTCATTTAATCCTATCAATTAATGAGGTTTTGCTATCCTTCCACTCTACAGGTGGGAAAAGTGAGGTAAAGAGAGGTTAGATGACTTACCAAGTGATATGGTTTGCCTGTGTCTCCACCCAAATCTAATCTTGAATTGTAATCCCTATAATCCCCAAGTGTTGTGGGAGGGACCCAGTGGGAGGTAATTGAATCATGGGCATGGTGCACCCCATGCTGTTCTCCTGATAGTGAGTGAGCTCTCATGAGATCTGATGCTTTTATAAGCATCTGGCATTTCCCTAGCTAGCACTCATTCTCCTGTTGCCCTGTGAAGAGGTGCTTTCTGCCATAATAGTAAGTTTCCTGAGGCCTCCTTAGTCATGCATAACTGGTGAATCAATTAAACCTCTTTTCTTTATAAAACTACCCAGTCTCAGGTATTTCCTTATAGCAATGTGAGAATGGACTAATATACCAAGCTAGATAGGTAGCTGAGCCCCCAGTTGGCCCCAAGCAGTTTGGGTCTGGAACTCATGAACTTAGCCATCATGCTGTACTGTCTATACTATGCTGCCTTCACTATGCCATAGCTATCTTGGTTCACATGATATGTGAAAGATGAGCCAGTAGATCCTGCCAGTTGTACAAGGTATTGTATATTAAAATGCTATGTGCAAGTTCATGAAGTGGAAATGGAGTTGCTCAATTAGAAAAATTTAATTAGATTTCACAGGGCTCTAGAACTTAAAAGAACCTTAGACATCATCTAGAATTATCACCTTAGCTGTAAAAAAAAAAAATGCACACAAACCATCCCAAAAAATGATCTCACTTCCCTTTCATTGTTCACTGCAGCAACCTAGGTGACACATTACTTTTTTATCCTTAAAAGTCTAGCAGTACCTTGTAATGGTTAACATAAATCCATTTTATAGTTTAAAATTTTCTCATCCTAAAGGTGACAGAACACTATCTCTCATACACACATACGCATATACAGTATATTATTGCTGCATTGCCACCCCAGAATTGGTGGCTTAAAGCCATTTTATGTGCTCTCAATTCTGAAGATTAGTAATTTGGGCTGGCCTTGTCTATGGTCACTCACACAGATGCTACAGTCACCTAGCAGCTTGACTGGGTGCACTCACATGGTATTTGGTGTTGGCTGTTGACTGGTCCTCTCTTCTTGTAGCCTTTCATCCTCAAGGAGAGTAGCCTGGGTTTCCTCATATGGTGGCAGCATGCCAAGCCAGTACAGATTAGAAATTACAAGATTTCTTGAGGCCCTCAATTCAGAATTTATATGCTATCACTTCCACTACATTTTGTTAGTCAAATCAAAGAGCCAGCATAAATTCAGGAAGTGGAGACCTAGACTCACATCTTGCTTGGAGAAGCAGCAAAATCACTTTGCAAAAGAATATGCATTCAGGAATAGGAGAAATTATTGTAATGATTTTCACATTTAATAATTCATCACAATGTATAATTATTTTGAGAATGATATTAACTAATTAAAGCTCCTGATTTTTTTAATGCTTTAAGAAAGTAAAACAAGGAAACATTGACTTATTCTTTAAACTGACTGAGTCAGTTTGGTGGCCTTCTATAAATAAACTTTGGTGATTCCTTAAGTTTTCCTGCTGGACTTGTTTTTCCCATCATTTTGTTGTTTTAAGATTCATTCTTAGTTTTCCATCTATTCTAAGCAGAACCTACTAAAACACAGCACAGGAACCTAACATCAAATAGAAACAATTATACTTCCTAAAGGACCTATGTATTCTGGTCCAGATTTCACCAGCTTTGATTATGATGTGGCATTTTACAACACATAACTAAATCCAAAATGATGCAGAAATCAAATTATGAGCCAAGATAGGGTCTGAGATTGTAGAAAGGGTCATGGAAAAAATGATTCAGAAGGACAAATGTTAAACTGTTGATCTATTATCAATTATGTAGACCATAACACCTAAGTATTTTGCAAACAATATAACACGAAAAATGAAGATAATGCTTTCCCTAAAATGCTTCTTTTAAAGAGGGTGGAGAGTAGATCTAACTAGGTTGCTAGCCTGGAGGTAAGCTCCCTACTGGGGAACTGCTGACTTGACTTCGTATACTCCATTCCTGGTGCTAAAGGCACTCGTAGGTCTTGCTGACCAAATGACATAATGATGCATGTACAGTGCTGCTTTGTGGCTATCAAACCATACCTTACAGATCTTTGATTTAAATGTTTCATATAGCATTTAAGCAAATTCCATGGGGGGGAAAAAGGTTTTTGTTATAGTAAGTCAGCTATTACAATAATAATAATAATAATAATATTAGCTGTATTGCAATCTAATAATAACTAATGATAATTTTGTCACTTATTGAATTCACACAATGTGCTAAGTGCTGTATATTTTTACATCAAATCCTTACAAAGATCCTGGATTAGATATTATCCAATTTTACCAATAAGGAAACAGATAATGAGTGTCTGAGCTAGACCTAGATTTTTTTTGGTTGTTTTGTTTTTTGTTTGTTTGTTTTTTGAGACAGAGTCTCCCTCTATCACCCAGGCTAGAGTGCAGTGGCAGGATCTCGGCTCATGGCAACCTCCAACCTCCATCTCCTGGGTTCAAGTGATTTTCCTGCCTCAGCCTCCAGAGTAGCTGGGATTATAGGCACGTACCACCATGCCCGGCTAATTTTTGTATTTTTAGTAGAGATGGGGTTTCACCGTGCTGGCCAGGCTGGTCTCAAACTCCTGACCTTCTGATCCACCTCTCTTGGCCTCCCAAAATGCTGGGATTACAGCTGTGAGCCACCCATGGCCGGCCAGACCTAGATCTTTAAACCTAGATCTGTCTGAGTCCAGAGCCTGGGCTTCAAGTTACATATATGGGGTGCTTCAAGTTACATATATTCTGATGATTCCTTAAGTATAATCTCCAGGTCAGACCTATGTCTAAAGCCTCTAAATTCTACTTGTAACTGCCCATAAGACAGACCATCCAAATTTTCCCAGGCATGTCAAAATTGGCCAGACCAAAACTGAATTTTTCTTCTCACCAAACCTGTTCTTCCTCTTCTAGATTTTAATAATGGTGTTGCTATCTAGTCAGGCACCCAAAATAGAAACCTTGGAGTTATAGAGAGGAGCATCTGCAAAGACGCAAAGTAATGAAAATTACCTGTGTACAAGGTTTCTCTTCTCACTTGTCCCCAGCATCTAACCTGAAACCATAAGCTATTGGTTATACTTCCAAAAGGCCTAGGCAATACAGTTTCCCCTCTCCATATGCACCATCAGTCTTCTAGAGGTTCAAACCTCACCTCTGAACCATTGCCCCAACCACCTTTGTGCTCTCCCTATCACTGATCTCTGCCTCACTCCAATATTCCACACTATCAGAATTATAGTCCAAACAAATCTGATGTTTCTCCACAATTCAAAATCCCCTTTGACTGCCAACTGCATAGACTAATAAGTCAAATCAAAAAAAAAGCATTAATACAAAGATTGTATTTTAAAGTCAGAAAAAATCTGAGCATCCTATCTCCATCACTCACAAGTTGTATGACTCTAGTGAGAATCTCTCTTGAGCAAATGATAACCTCTCTTGAGCCTTAGTTTCCTTCGCCTATATGTTATTTTCTGAGTTGTGAAAAATCAGTTAACGAAGAAAGCACTCAGGAGGACCTAAAATAAAGTACACAAAAAATACCATTATACCCGATCCTGCCACAACTTCACACACTTTATGTTCCAAACACACTAGATTTCTTACCCTGTGTAGAAATTTAACAAAGCAAAAATTAATTAAACTAGATGGGGAGGGAGTATGGGACACAGGGGAATTTTAGGGGAAGAGAATAGAGCTGTTGGTTACAGTGTAAGTTTGTT